CAGAAGAAAGAAAAAAAAAAGCAAGAGCAGTTGGTGACCTTGGATGATGATGAGGTAATTAAACTAGCAATTTTATGTTGTTAATTCATGTGATTATTCGTGTTGTTTTCATAAAGATAAGTAATTATTTTGTAATGTAGGAGAGTGACAAGAATGACGACGATGAGGATTGTTCGCTGAATGAATACAGGGGCAGAGAGGATTTCTGTGGACACGGGGTTGTCCCGGAAGAGGATGTTGCAGTCATCCGGTCGTTTTTGGCAAGCGATCAATTGAGGTAACAGAAATGACGTTAATTATTTTAATTTTTATTATATCATACTAATTTAAATTACAAAATTTTGGTAGCAAAATAGTGTGGAGCAATGACCGAGTTGTGGTCCGAGGTAAATCGATGTGCTCTCTTTTGTTCGGGTCGGAGTTGAATTCGTCACTCATTGATTGCTATATGACTATCCTGCGTGGCTGCCATCCTCATATCCGATTTTTGCCGACATATGTTCAGGTACCTGGTATTTAAATATACTCTATCTATTAATTTTGTTGATTGTTAATTTGCTAAAAAAAACTATTGAATTTGTAGAGTGATGTGGTGAGTGCAATCGAACAAATTAAGCATAGACCTCCTCGGAAGGAGGATTATGATGCGTGTGCTTCTACTTTTAGTAGAAGTACTATTGCGGTGCTTGATGAAATGATGAGGTCTTTGAATGGTGCCAAATATGTTTTCTTTCCCGTGGTGAAAAAATTTCACTTCTACCTTCTTGTCCTTAACATTCCTGAAATGAAGTTTGTGTACCGTAATTCGATGGATAATGCGGCGTATCGAGGGATTGGGAAGAGCTTGGTAAGTGGTATTATGACATATAAAACTTTGTTTTGTAGTGGTTATTTTTATTTCGAATAAACGTATTTTGTTGCTTTCTCCTTATTTTTTAAAATGTGTAGGCCAAGTGCATGGGATATTATTTGAATAAGCATGTTCGTGGAATGGACATTCGTCAAAAGGATTTTGGGTTCGGTTACCTCAGGGAGCAGGTCGGTTTCAAGGACTGTGGCGTGCACATATGCTTGGATATGGAGTGCTACGGCGTCGATTCGCCTGAATTCTGGAAGGCCCATTATAGTTGTTCG